TTGAAGTTAAACACATTAAACACGTTGAAGTTGAATGTATTTTGCTATGGTGAAGTACGTTCAACTTCATTTACCAAAGTTAAATAAATACGAAATATTTGTTAACAAAGCTAAACGAATATTCGGTTTTTATAAAAATTTGATCACTATATTAACTCCACTACTATTTGTTTAAAAAATTAGTCAAAAATAATTCAAAAAATTTTTACAATAAAAAATTGTCAAGTTAGTTAAAAATATAAGAGATGGTAGACTCTTTAGTTTAAAAAGCTTAAACAAAATCATCATTATCTAAAAATTAATTGAATCATCTAAAAAAAGCATATGTAAAGAAAATCTAGTTGACACAGCAAACATTGTTGTAGTGGGTCTGTAGAGGATTTATAAAAGAATTTTGAGTGGTTCATTGGAGTTTTGCTCATCGGTTATTTAGTGGACCATTATTGGCATCCACCATAAATGGTCAGCCGATATCTTTCTGACATATGATATAATAGCTAGTCATCGGATAGTCTCTGACTAATGATAGTCACTGATCTAAATGATTTTTGGAATACTGCAAGATTGATTGCGCGAATGAAACTTGTGGATAGCTCTTTGATGATGGGTCTCATAAAACTAATGGCTCTTTATGAGTTTTCTTGCAGATATCTGCTCCATCAAACTTGTCTTGTTTTATGAATTTAATCTTCAAATTTTTATTGATTACACCAACTTGTTTTGCAATTTTTATGAGAGTGGGTTTTGCTGCCCATTTATCCAATACATTAGCTAGTTTTTATTATTTAAAAACTAAGGAGGGAAAGTTTAAAGTATTCTCGGATTATGAGGGCTACAACCATATGTCCCACAGATTTAGGAGCCCGAAATTTTGAAGAGGCTGCTTTATTTTTGTAAGTTTTTTTTGTCACTTTAATAAGAAAAAAGTGAACCTGCTCAAAAATATCCCCAGACCATGCAAGTCTTAATTTGGCACATGTTTTAAGATCTGCGGTACTTTAAATGGGCATGTTAAATTTAGAACTATATATTTAAATATCATTATCTGAGTGTAGTATCAGTGACCTAAATACAGCAAGGACAGTGCAAGTAAAACTTACGGTCCCTCAAGCAACTAGGCTCAGCGTCGCGAGATTTAGGAGCCTCAAGATGTATTAAGAGAGTTTTGAGTTGTTTTAATAAAAACTATTGTTCCAGAGAAACAGAAATTAGGCACCTGGGTCACGACTGTCTACTGGCCAAAAATATTTTGCTACGACACTGTGTAGTATACGAATAACCCGAGCTGTACAAAAGCAATGATTTATGCGTAGATTAAGAATTAAAACTTGTGGTGTTTAGAGGCTAAAAACAAAAATACCCTAAAATATCTACCATCTTTACTCTAAATGTGAGGGCAACAAACTAGTAATTTTAATTTTTTTATTTTCTTACACTAACTTTAAGTCGACAGGTTTTAAAATTCAAAATTTAAAAGCCATGATAATATAAGGTTTACACCCTTACCAAATGAAATGGTTATTTCAATCTTTTCCTAAACACTCTAATGCGATATAAACAAGAACATACTTAAGTTTGGCACTTAAGTATGTTTTATTTACCAAAAGTATATCTATTAACCAAAATCATTGATTTTTAATAATTATATTAGTTTTACGTCTCAAAATTTACGCAAGTAGACATCATTATATTATTGGTAACCATAAAGTCTTTAAATGAGTTTAATTTGGTTTTTAACAAAACATTAAAAGACCTCTTTTGTACGTAACTATTAATAATACTATTAGTTAAAGATGCTGTTGATTAAGTAATTCTAATTGATTTGGCGAAAAAAGGAACTGCTGTATTTTCAAGTTATGAAACCTTTTTACATTGCTTTTGACGTGGTATAATATATTATACCACGTGGTATTATTACCTCGCAATACTTGTATTTATATCAACTAGCAGTAAGCAACCCGTAATACGCATTGTTAGTAAATAAAATTAAAAAAAACCGCGTATAGAAAAGTCTAGAAACTACTTTTAAATAGAAAAGCCTAGAAAATGACGTAACTCGACTAATAATAATATTAAATTAGCGTATTCATATTATCAGATTTAAAATTAAATCTTGTATTTCGTTTAATTTATATTTTCATGAATAATATTTTTTTAAACCGATTTGTTTAAAAAATTTTTGTTATTTATTTTGATTTATGTTAAAAAATTAAATTATTCAAAATTTCTGTTTAAGTTCGTTTATTTTAGAAAAAGATTTCTTTTTTTCTAAAACAACATACTAAAACAGGAGATATTTGGTATTTCAGCTACTTATATATTATTTTTCAGGTATATTTCAAAAAAACACAAAACTATAATTGTCAACTAAAATAAACTTATTAAACTCAAACTTCAGAAAAACACAAGATCATTAATTTTTAGTGACAATTTCAAAATGACTTTATTATGTACGGATTATTAATGGCTAAGCGATAAGACTATTTTTGTCTTTTTCTGGCCTCCAACATTTGTTTATTTTACAAAAGAAAAGTAATTATTTGTAACGGCAAATTTAAGGAAAAAAAAATTACAAGTAAATTTAAAAACGAATTTTCAAAACCCAATGCTTTTATATGTAATTAAAACACAAACTTTGGCATAAATTTTTTCTATTTTATTTTATTACATTCGGGCGTTGCGTGTGTAAAAAAAACAAAAAAATTTAGATAGAGGCGGGTCTCGAAACTTAGACTTAATGACGAGTTAATAAAAGCATTGAGAAAAATTAAATATCAGCCGCAGCATTAAAGAATGTCTTTATGTAATAAAAAAAACAATAATCAATGACCAAATTAAATTTGAAAAAAAAAATTAATTTGATAATATTGTTTGAAAAATAAGAATAGTTTTGCAGACTAAAGTCACTTATAAAAACATAATTTTCTTCGTTATTCTTCGACAAATTTTAACGATGACGTCAAATTCATTTGATTACTTTATCACAAAAAAAGAGTTTTAACTCTTTTTTTGTGATAAAGTAACTTTTTTTGTAATAATTAACTTACGCTCCAAACTTTTGAATGAGGATCAGAATTTGATAGTCAGACTAGCTTATAACTTAATTAAAAATAATAAAATTTTAAATCCCCTAAATAATTAGGGAGGTTGTTAAGAGATTATTGCATAACATTAAAGCTTGCTAAGAGATTATTGCATAACTTTTTAATGAACTTAAATTTAGCTTAAACTGTAAAAAAAATGTATATAAAAGTGTTATACACTCGTCGCTTTCAAAGAATGTTATGAAAGGTAGGTAAAAATTTTAGGGGTTTATTGTTAACAGACTCCGATTATCGTAATATTTTTGAAAAGCTTTATATAAACATGAATATATAAGTGTTGGATTTTGCTCCACGTCATTACATAAAGTTAAATTCTCAAACAAAACAAAAAAAAGCTTGCAACGGGCCTGAAGCGAAAAGCAGCTGCAAATATGTCCGGGTCCTTTATGGTAAGCTTTTATCAGGGTCACTAACCTATTTCCTCCCAACAAAAAAGTTAATACTAAAACAATTAAATCAAAAAATACCTTTTTAAAGTTTTTTTGCAAAAAAATCTTTCTTTCTAAAAAGTTATAAACCTAAACTTTAAAGAAAAACAAATTATTAGATAAAAAAAAAATAAGGGTACAACCCACCTTGCCCAGGAAATAAATTTAACATGCATGTTCATCGGGAATACACAAATGCTGTCAAGAAAAAGTAAAATCAAAGTAAAGCCTCAAAGATAATTAAAATCAAAAAAAAAAAAAAAAAGATATCCAAAAAAGTGGAGTTTTCCAGTTTGCTTTGAAAATAATTTTAACATGTACGTTTATTAAAATTACACAAATGCTGGAAGTTTCAGAGCTTAGCTAGTCTAGAAGGTAGTAAAAAATCACTTACAAGCTTCCGGGACAACTGATAGCCGACAAACAACTTGTGAAGTCAAACTAACATTTGAAAAAAAATTACAAGTTTATTCTAAAGCACTATTTTAATTGAATAGGATTTTATTTTTCTAATTATCCTTGTGCGGGTTGGACACCAACGCAACGAAAAAGGAGGTTATTAGGGTGCTTACAACCTATAGTAGAAGGTTGACCAGCTTTTTTCAAATAGATTATATACGATAAAACGCAATAAAAGATTATATTTGAAAAACTTTAATCATAAAGTTTTATTAAATTGTATAAATGATTTATAATTTTTTGAAAACTGTTTTAGCAGTCGATGTACTTGCGGATACCAATAATGTTATATTGCGTCATATTACCATAACAAAATACTTGATTAAAAAGGCAAATACAAATAAAAAAAACTGGAGAAAAAGCGCGCTCTAACGGACAGTGACTTAATCAAGGTTTAGACATGCATGAAATACCCATAGCTTAGAAATTATCCCCTTCCCCCCTCCCCTCCCGCCAAAGTTACAGTATGGCCACTAACCAATTTCTGCTTAATAAAAGAAATAAAAAAATCAATGATTATTTAGCAACCCCCATTGGCACTCATGCGCATGGAGCCTGTCTCTGCACTAATGGTATACCCGCATGTTGACTATATTTTAGAGGTGCGCCAATGCATGAGCATCGGCCTGCCGATGAATCGACAATTTAGCCGATGCATTGGGATCAGCCTTGATTACCATTGGCTACTCCCGATTATTTTTAAAACTTTTCTGTGTTTCTTTTTTATATTCAAACATAGAATTAAGCCATAAATATAAATGCAATGCATAAGCATTACTAATGATAAGTTATCATATAGGCATATATGCAACCACTAAACTAAAAATGTTTGAACTGCTTTTAACAGGGCTCCCTACTTTGTTAGTGTTTTCTTATAATTTAGTACATTAATTATATAACTTATGGATCCGAAACTCTACAAAGAAGTTTAAAATCAAGAAATGCAAAGTTAAAAAATATAAACATAAAGTATCACATATCTAAAACATAATAGAACAACTTGTGTCATGTTAAAAATAAATATAAACATTTATAACGTTATGAACAGTAAAAAAATATGTTATATAAAACTGCGAAACGTTTTTTTTTGTATTATTTTCTCCAAAAAATTTCCAATTTACATGCACAAAAGCTAGATATTCACCATGTTCTACAGTTAGTCAGAACCGTGTTGATTCATAAATATTTCCGGCAGTACTAAACAACCTTTCGTTGAACACAGAAGAAGGTGGAACTCCTAAATATTTTTGGTAAGGTATGAGAGGTCTAAAATATTATTGATACTAGACTGTTTCTTTATACAATAGTATTTTTGTAATTTCCCGACCATTTATATGGACATTCTTTTTCGATGCAGATTAGGCTGTGATAAATAAAAATTTCATCAGTTCTAAAAGAAAAATAAAAAGTTCTAATAGTAAATAAAAAATATAAAAACTAAACTATTAAAGTTGTTAATTATTAATGAATATTAGTAATATTATTTTATTTCTGTAAATATAGTTTATTTAATAGTTTATAATAATTTAGAATTTAGTTTTATCTATAATAATTTAATATAAATTTGTGTCTCTATTAAAAGTTTTTTAAAGTTCCTTACTTTCGTTAATTTTGTTAATTCAGTGTCAAGAGATACTTTTGAAACTCGATAAAAATTGTATATGTTTACTGCCGTTCTTGGATTGATTCAGATAAAGTGTTTGTTTTGTTATCTGATTGAGTTAAGTTGTCGGTAGTAAAAGGTAATCAGTAATATTAGTTTTGTTTCGGTTCATATATTACTCTTGAACATTTGATTTTATAGTGTCTTTCTCCTCATCTAATATGACATAACTAAGATTGAATCTTGGATCTAAAACTGTAGACATGTTCAAGTTTTTGTTATATTTATAGCTGGAAAACCTAAAGGTAAAATTTTTTTCAGCTCTTCTATAACATTTTTTATTTCACCTGCTTTTTCTGAAGCATAGACTAGGTACGCTTCAGTTGAAACTATAAATGGAATAATTTGAGACACTGATGCCCTATTTTTACTCATCTCTATATAACCGCCTCAGATAAGAGTCTCAGCTAATAACCATTGGTCTTTTGAATAAGATTAGAGACACTACACTTTTCATTTCTTATAAAAAATAATTTTAGTGAGGTTTTTTATTCAACTAGCCTTTCTAGCATGTAAAATGTTGAGTTCCATCTTGTTACTACATCTTGTATAAGTGAATGTTGGGTTAACTTTAGCTGTTGTTGAATTCAGTGTATTGTATATTCCATGTAGCATGTCTATCGAAGACAAAGAATGATGAAAGTGTGTGACAGTTTTTCTAGACTTAGCTATAAGATCATTTACAACTATTTGCTGTTTGAAAAACTTATCGACTATACAAAGCTAAAGAGTGTGGATTACACAACTTAGAGAATATTTTTCTAAACCAGCTTCTTTTATGGCTAATTTCATATTAGCAAAATTTTCACAGAGGACTAAGTACACTTTGTTAGCTGGTATTTTCCATTCATTTAAAGAGTCTTTTAGAAACTTTGATACCTTTACACCTGTATAAAAGCCTGCTATTTTTTTAAGTTGTAGCACAGCTGTCATAGAACTGAACTCTGAGTTTATCCAGTGTGCTATTAATTCACTATCCAGTGAGCTGTTAATTCACTATCCAGTGTGCTGTTAATGAACACAAGCTTAGAGGGTTGTAATGTGTAGTTCATCCGTCATTAGTGAAACTCAAAAAATCTGCTTTTGATACATCATTCAAATTTGTATTTTCATTTTTTTGATAAATTAAAGGAACAACTATTTCAGTCATATGTTTTCAAGAGGGCATGGATTACCTTGGTTCAAGATGCATAATTAGTTTGTTAAATCCTATATCTGTAACTAAAGCACATGGCTGAATGTCTACACATATCATTTCTCCGATAAGCATAGTTATTTTTTGAGCTCTTTGTTCACTTGAAGTCCATTTCCTATGTTTATGATTGATGTTTTTGATCTAGAGTAACTGTAACACTATTGCTAACAAATTCTTTTTTAATTCTCTTTTTCTTTTAATTCTCTTAATTCTCTTTTTATTTTTAATTTTTAATTTAACTTTTAGTTCTTTTAATTCTCATTCTCTTTAATGGTTGAAATAGATGCAATAACATAGCTTTTTTTTTTCTGTGTTAATTTTTTTGAAATATTTTAGGGGCCATCCATAAAGGACGTCATCCAAATAGGGGGGAGGGGGTCGAGTTAAAAAGGACAAAAAGGGACAAGGGGAGGGGGGGGGGGAGGTTGTCAGAAAAGGACGTCACTTTATAGATTTTTTATTGTAGTTTAATTAAACGGAAAACTACGTAAACATGTGTTTTTGAGAAAATAATGTATGAGAATATTTTCAATTTTATTTTTCAAAGGCGTAGCAGCAGATTCAAACATCATTGCAAGATGAAATAAATTTTTTTGGAGTTAAAAATAGGGAGAGGGTCAGGATTTTATGACGTCCTTTTCCAGAAGGTATAGGGAATAAAGACAACCGGTGACAAAATGAGGGGGGGGGGGGAGTCAAAAATTAGCTAAAAAATGGTGACGTCCTTTATGGATGGCCCCTTAGATCTTTTATTTTCTGGAAAACTTTGATATGTTTTGCTTTCGCATGCTTTCTTAAATCGGATGTTGTCATTTTTTTTGCCAGATATTACTCTTCTTGATATTTTCATTTTGCAAAATTTACAAATTACTTTTGAGCGATAATTTTCATCTATATCACAATAGTCCCAGATTGGACTTTTAGTTGCTTTGCTCATTGTTGATTCATTTCAAATTTAATTTTATCTCTAAGTATAATTTTATGCTAAGAAAAAAAAAATTTATTTCGTTGCGCGCTCTTTTTATAAAAGAGTAGAACAAAAGAAGAAGAATAGTTTCACGTAATTGAACTTTAAATGAATAAGAGTTGTATAGAATATTTTTTTTTGCGTCATTTGTTCTCTTTTTAGATGAGAGAAATAAAAAACTGAATCGTATCTATACTTTAAATAGATGGGAATTGGAAGAGAAAATTGCTTTAAACAAAGTTTTTTTGAAACTCTTTCAGTTACTCTTTACAATCAAAATGTTTGATTACATTTATATAGAATTAAATAATAAAAAAGTTTATTATTAAATTAAAAGCGTTTAATAAATAAACATTTAATATAAGGCTTACATTAAATGTTTATTTATTAAACGTTTTTAATAATTTTATAAAACTTATATTAAATGTTTATTTAAGAAACGCTTTTAATTTAATAAAAAAATTTTTTATTATTTAATTTTAATATAAATATAATGAAACATTTTGATTGTAAACAGTTTATTTATTTAATTAAAAGCGTTTAATAAGTAAACATTTAATATAAGACTTATATTTAATGTTTATTTATTAAAGTTTAATGAATAAACATTTAATATATGACTTATATTTAATGTTTATTTATTAAACGCTTTTAGTTTAATGATAAACTTTTTTATTATTTAATTTTAATTAAATGTAATGAAAAATTTGATTTAGTAATGTTTTATAATTTAATTTCGTGAAAAAATATGCTAAAAACTTGCCGATTATTAGAAGTAACGACATCAAAATCTTCCATTTATTCTTTATAAAAAACGAAATCGTTCTAATTAGAACAGAATGACGAAAGTAAATATTTATAGCTTTTCAATTGAAGTAATTGCTCATGGCACAGGCAATGGATTTGAATACACTATCAATTTCAAAATTTATGTTAAATCAACATGAAATGACTCTTCTCTTAGAAACTTAATAATATACAACTTACATTTTACTTACAAAGTAAAGTATAAAATTTCTAAGAAAAAATTTACTTTTATTTGTAATTGTTAATAAATTTTTTTTTCAAATTACTTTTATGTAAGACGTTTTTGCTAATTATTTACTTTTACACGTAAAAGTAATTTGTTGTTATCCCAGCTAACAATTAACATTCAAAAAAAACGTTACCATAACGTTCGTTTAGGTTTGCATACCGTACGCTGCAAACATTATTTAAATAAATTTTGTGAACTCCAATTTACAGTTTTGAACGTTCACTATGAACGTTCAAATAACAAAGGCGAACGTTCGATGCAAACGTTTACTTTGATAGCTCTTGAACGTCCACCTTAAGCGTGTTATTACGAACACGGACGTTTATCCAACAATTTTTTTCTTTTTAATGTATAGATTTAAACATACTTTCTATTTAAACCTACGTTTGATAGTATTTGTAATGCAATGCTTTTTGGAATTTACATTTATCTTTTTTTACTTAATAAATACAAATTCACCATGTTTTACAGCCGAATTACACCATATGAAGCTTATATGAAAACCCACGATTTAACTATTACATTACAACCAAAAGGCACACAATTAGCTGAGCTGATTAAAATTAACAAAAATAGTACCTCCTGCAACGAAAAAGTTGATTTATTAGTACTAGTTAGCGCCCTATGGGGCATAAATGACAATTTACGTCGATTTAAAATAAACTTTTACAAAACAACATCAATAACATAAAAAATAAATACAAGTTATTGAAAAAGTGCAGCTATTTCCACTAAAAACATAAAAAACATGCACGTCGTACTTAAAATATAAAAACTTACAATACTTCATCATAAATAAAATGCTTAATTAAAAACAAAAACTATTTTGTGGATTTGATAAATAAACTATTTTATTTATGAATGTGTATATTTATCTATTTGTGTATAAATACGCAAAGAATGACATTAGTTCACATGGTGTCTTAGGGATAGCATAATCAACTTTACTTTTTTTTTAATATAAGGACTCTGTTGAAATGTAAAGTTAATTGAGCTGTTACCTATCATTTGAATAATGCTTTGAAATTGTAAGGAATCATTTTTTTCATCAATTAACAACATTTAAAATCTAGTTATTTAACAATTTTATAAAACTAATGTTTTATCTGGTCATATAACATACATATAACATAACATATGCAAGTCCGTAATGTCAGAACTTTCTCCAAAATGTCGCAACACATCTTTATTTTGAGCATTTGCTGTAAGTTTTGTCTAATTAGATACAATAACATTTTTTTATTAGACTAAATGATTAACACTATGATATGCATTACTAGTAAAAATTTACTTTATTTACTAGATTTATCTAAGAATCAACTTTACTAGATTTATCTTAGAATCAACTCCACCTGATCGATTAGGAGCATGATTTAACACCTCCCTAACTTGTTCCTCCATTTGTTTGCATCCTTGACAATTTTGTTCGCATTCCTTACGATTGACTAATTATTTTTAATTTTAAGTGTCTAACTAAATTTTAAAATCATTTACAATAGTTAATAAAAGTACTCAAAATGTTAACAGCATAACCAATTACCATAAAAAGGGATATGGTATAGGATTGTTTTTAATGATAATTAAGTATTTCATACAACACATTTTTTTAAATATATATAATAAGATTTTTAATATTATGAGTTAAATCTTGCAAGTAAGTTATATAAGAACAACAACTTATAATTCTTATTAAGGAGTTGCCTATAAAGTAGCTGCACACTTTTTTACAGAAAGGGAAACCTCAGTTCAAAAAATTTACTGAAATAAAATTCATTTTGGAGCAAAATTATTTGTTGCGGTTTTTCATTATTTAAAAAAGTGCATACATACTTTATGGAATTGATTTGAGCTCAATATTTTGCTGTCTAGCAGGTTGGGCCACAAAATTTGTGAGCAAACCTAAAAGTAACATCAAATTTTTTTAAATTTCTTGTAAAAAAAGTAATACTTTTGTTCTTGTAGTTTTTGTAATTGTTACAAAAAGTATCAACTAAAATATTATAACTTCTACTAACCAGTTGATGAAAGATATGACGGATTCACTTGACTTATGGATGCAGATGTTGGGTCAATAATGTCTGCAGCAGCTGACAAAAAAACAGCTGCACTTCCCACATGTTGCTGCCATTTACTTTTGTCTGTATATCTGACAATTCATTGTAACTATAGTATGATAATACAATATAAATGAATACTATATAACTAGTGATTTCTTTTAAAACAACTAAAATATTTTAACATAAAAATGTATTTAAAAAAATAAGTGTAACTTCTTAAAGTAAAGCAGTAGTGTACCTATATATAAACGTGACCATTATTTGTATTTGTCAGAGTCAACTAGGTGCATCTGACAGTCAAGTTTACAAGTATGAATAGTAGTCAGGTTTTTAACATAATATGTTTATCAATTTTATATAATATGTATGTAAAATTTATTTGTAACATGCCATATAAAAATATTTTTAAATATTTAAATAATTACTTGGCAGAGTAAACAGCTATCAAATCACTGTTTTCCTTTCCGGCCGTTTAAACTAAACAATGGCCAAACTTGATTAGTTACTGCTGTACGCATGTGTCGAATCTTTATAATACGGCCACCAAGAGTGCCAAAATGAATAAGCTAAAAAAGTAACTATTGAAACTATATTTATAAATTAATAATATGTTCATAAATTTTATAAATATGTAAATATTATGTAAATAATAAACTTTACATATTTTCTTTAGAAATTTGAAACATTTTACTGCAAACGTTTAACTTAAAAAAAGTAATACAACCTATAATCGAGTCTATGGTACTGCTCAAAATCTTTTTTCTATAGTCAGTCATTAAGGTTTAAATTAATTACAAATAACAGTCAACTACAACCACAACTACTACAACAACAATAACAATAATATATTTACCAGTATATATTATACATATATATTTATATATACATATATATTTATTTATTTATTTATTTTTATTTACATATAGAAAAAACAACTTTTCATGGGACTAATAGTTTCATGCCTATACGGGAATTTTTCAGCCATGTACTATATCAAAAACAAACAAACCGTTAATAAAATTAAAAAAAAACAGTGGAGCGACATCTGACGTCTCTATAGAGACAAAAAGAGAAAACGTCAAAGAAAATCTTATATAAATCAGCTAATCGCCAGTATCGTAAATATATATTTATGATACTGGCGATTAGACTAGTTAGTCTAGTTAGGACCCTTTAGACTAGTTAGTCGGCAAATCTCGACCGTTTTGATACAGATTAGTCGGTAATCTAGACAGTCGGCAAATGTCGTCAAGGTAGTCGGCAAATTTCGGAAAACGAGGACCTTATTTTTTTTTTTAGTCGTCAAAAGCTGTAATGGCACCCCTACCCCCCCCCCCCCACGTGACACTTACTCGCGCCGGCCCTATATATATATATATATATATATATATATATATATATATATATATATATATATATATATATATATATATATATATATATATATATATATATATATATATATATTCTGAAAAATAATTTCATGGATATTTACAAATAGTAGTTCTACTAATATTAAGTAAACACCAAAAATATAGATCTTTATATATTTAATTAGTAATAATTATAAGAATAATAATTATAATAATAAAAATAATATCTATAGTAATAAATATAAGAACCACAATAATAATAAAACAACAACATCAATAACAATTATTATATTAGTTAAATTAAAAAATAATCAAATAATAAGTCACTTGTTTTTATAAACACAATAGCTAAATAATAAGCTACATGTAAGTTAGTTACCAGCAATTGACTGATAAAATGTAACAAATAACAATAACATATAACATTTATTTAAATTGAAAATAATAAAATATGAATAATAATAGTAAAAAAAAAAAATAGTAATAATTGTGGCTACGATAAATATTTAGAACTAAAAGAAATAAAACTATAACAAAAAATATGATAAAAATTAAAGATAAAATAAAGAAAAACAAAAAAGCATTAAAAAAATGAGAAAGTTTAATATTGTTACATTCACACACAAACAGAAATATAAAGATATATACACATACTTACCCACATACATAGATACACACATATATACATACGCGCGTGTACATGCACTCACATAGCTATGTATACATGTATATATATACATATAGATACAATATAGATTAAACTAACAACTAACATAAAATTAAAAACATTTAAATTAAAAAACATACGATGCAAACAACGCACTAAATTATATAACAAAATGAATTATACTCTACAATGCCCAATTAACAATACACAAGAATACAAAAATAATTTACAACAACAACAAAAAAGACAAACGTCCCTCAATATTGATAAAATTTAAAAAATACTCTTTTACGTTTCTTCAAAAGCGGAGCAATTTTTATATTTTATCTTAATTGCTTTTAATTACTTTTCATATACGAATATTTTTTGCGTTTAACTTTCTTTTCTCGTTTCTTTTTATGTTTTTGTTTTTTTTCTTAGTTACTTTGATTTGGTTTTTTGTTTGTTTTTTGCTTTTTTGTTTCCTTCTTTTTCTTTTTTTTACTCTCTTTATATTTATTTTTCTTATTTTATTATTTTTTCTTTGTCTTTCTTTTTTGTTTGTTTTTTGTTTTTGATAAAACGAAAATAAAACGAAAGAAGGAATTTATTTTCATGCCTACAATTTGAAACCAACTCATTCCTTTTGTTCAACAGTTTTCCCCCTGTATGCGTTAAAATAAAATACTTTTCATTAAGACAAAAATTGCAAATTTTGGACGAAGGATTATATGTTTGGCAGCGCTTGATAATTTTCCATTTAGTAACAAACGAAAAGTTTTCTTCTTTAAGTTTCCAAATTTCTTTAGATAACTCCGTATCATTGCTGTACTTAATTAAATTAAAAGATTTTAAATGGTTTGCATACCTTAACTTGAAAGGGGTCTCGCTTATACCAATATAAAATTTATCTGTGTAATCTGGTTTATTGGATGAAACAGTAGCTTGATAAACAATGTTCTTACTTAGACACTGGTTGTTCATAACGCAGGTAGATTTATTGATGCAGTTGCAAGTTTTTGTAGTTGTTTTTTCATGATTGTATAAAATATTTTGATTATGCGAATTAATGACTGATTTAACGTTCGGCATACACGAGTAGCTTCTTTATTTTTTCCATTTGTTGACCACTACGATTTTTAAATATAGCTAGACCGTCATCCCGGTATAAACCTAATTCCTTCCCGTTGTAATATTGTGATAGTTGGTACAAGATAAAAATTCCCACTAATTCGCATACTTCTGCACCATCATAAGCACCCATAGTTACATCAAACAATTCTCCGTTTTTTTTAATCCAAGAATCGCCATTGGTAAAGATTTGACATGTAAAGATTTTCTCGCGTGCATAATAAATTTCCTATCTTCTTGATTTATAACTAGGTGCTGACCATCAAACTCTATTGCGTCGCTAAGTAGTTTTATATAAATCGATGGGTAAAAGTCAGTTATATCGAAAATTAAAAATATGTAGAGGTGTTTTTCATTAATACCTTGAAACCAATGTAAAACATCTTGCGAGCTTTGCCATTGGTTTAAGGTGAGCTTTTTTCTCAATGTAGCATTGATTTTTGAGATTACAGTTTTGGAAATTCGTCCTACTTCGTTTTTTGCTGGGTTTAACAGGCGAACGGTGGGGTTATTTAAAAAGTTTACTTTGTGGTCTTTGAGAGTGATGAAGCAATTAGAAGTACCATTTAACTCAATTTTGTTAAACACATCGTGGTTGGTTAAAATTTCTTTACTTTCTTTATTTATTTTATGGTTTAGATTATGTTCAGCTTTTTTATACGTAGATGATATGGCGTTCATTAAAAAGTGGTTGTACTTATCTTTAGATACTCTGTACATAATAGTTGATTTGTCAGCTTGGATTAGTGCCATGGGCAATACGCGAAGAGATTTTATACCCTTTGATATTCTTTCTTGATATGAGTTGCGGATTTTTCGAAATTTTATATTTTTTACAAGATTTACATATCTTTTTCAAATAATGACATTTCTTTAATAGTTGGTGGGCATTTTGCAGATTTTATACCATTATTTATAAACTGAGACGATTCTTTGTTATCAGAAAGTTTGTTTATGAAAAATAAAATAATAAAATAGAATAATATATATATATATATATATATATATATATATATATATATATATATATATATATATATATATATATATATATATATATATATATATATATATATATATATATATATATATATATATATATAGGGGAAGTGGAGGCATAACCGCCCCCGTAAAGTTTGGAATAATGTTTGATGAAGATAAAAACGAAATGTGTTTTTTTTACTAGTTTATTTTAATAACCTCATCATTAAGCTTTAAATTGATGCAATTAAGAAAAAAATTGAACGGTTTTTGAAAATGTTATTTCACAAAAAGTACAATTAGTGAAAAAAACGGTTTTGCCCCCATTGTAAGGCACAACCGCACCCTCACAAAAATCGTTGGGGGTACACCTTTCATGGTACATTTTCTTTACAATTTTCACAGCTCAGATTATTTGATGATTTTGTTGCATGTTTGTATAATTTGCAGGCGTTCTTTATATTTACATTTTGAGTTCTGCTCCAGAAGAGAGTTCTGTCCCAGAAGAGAGTTTTTAGAAAAAACTCAGTTTCATAGCTTGCTTATTAGATATCAAAAATGGTTTTCACTTGATGAAATAATGCTGATAACAGATGTCTTTAACACTAAAATCAAATATTGCTTAATTCTCAAAAAAAAGATCTGGAAAAATATGATGTAAATATAAAATTTTTATCAAAATAAACATTATTATGCACAATTTCACAGAAACGTAAAAAGCACACTTTTTGACATATGCAAAATGAAGGAAACTGTTTTACTAACGCGTGGTATATTTTTTGCCATATTAGATAATATTTTTCTAAGGGAAATGTTAAAAAACGGTTGTGCCTCCTTATGCGGTTATGCCCCTACTTCCCCTATATATATATATATATATATATATATATATATATATATATATATATATATATATATATATATATATATATATATATATATATATATATATATATATATATAGGTATGTTAAATAATAAATTGTTATATATCATTGGAAAAAGCTTTATTACAGTATTTTAATGGTGAAAAAAATTATGAAAATCAAATAATTTTACAAAAAGTTAAAAGGTTTTAAGTAGCAAATTTTTGATAGATTGGTTGAAGAAACTGTGGTCAAAACTTTTTCTTTGCCTAAATTGCTATAACTTTATCAATTCTTATCAAAACACCTACAAATTTATAATAGGTTTGAGCAACAGGGCGTATTTAGGGAACAAGAGGGGGTACGGAACCACCATCTACACTGTAAAAAAATTAGTATTTTAAAACCAAACGAGCTTATTTTATCAAAAGTTGTAATTTTTATATCCAAAAACTGTTATAATTTGCATTCAGATTACGGCCAAATATGAAAGGTGTATTTTGGAGTTAAGGGTGGATGGTGGTGTTACGGTTTAACACAGCTTTTTATCAAAAATGAATAACTGATATATATATATATATATATATATATATATATATATATATATATATATATATATATATATATATATATATATATATATATATATATATGTGTATATATATATATATATATATATATATATATGTGTATATATATATATATATATATATATATATATATATATATATATATATATATATATATATATGTTAATGAGTAGATCTAATATAAAATACAAAAATTATAATTCACTTCTTTACAACATGTACTAATGGTACATACATTGACTTAGGTTGAGGGGCGTAAACCCTCGACGCCGTTCCCTCTCCCGCTACTCCAACCTGAAAAAAAAAAGAAAATTTAATGCAACTTTAATAAATTTAAATTGATACTACTTAAAATTAGAGAAATTAACATAAATTTTTTTTACCTTACGAGATGCACTAAAGTATCTATATTTTTAGTAAATAGACCATTGTACCGCCTCCCCCTTTTATCTAAAAAAAACAAAGTAAAACTATGTACTATTTTGAAACAAAAACTTTAATTAATTTGTCTTGGATTTTAGTAAATGATAAAGATTTAAATTTCAATATTGAAACTTAATGATAATCATTGTTAACGATAAATATAACAAGAACGTAAGCCATAGCCGTCTTTCATAAAATGTCAAGTGATACCACTTGCAGTTTGGTCATTCCATGCCAAATCAGCATGACATGTCACTTTCAATTTTTGTTCTGTATATTTTTATATTATTTTGATTTTTTTATTAATTAAACCTAAAATCTTTTTAAAAAAGTTAATAAAAAACTATGTAAAATAATACAATGTATCCAATATTTTGTATAAATATTTTAACAAATTACAACACTTTTGTAATTTAAAAGACTATACAATAAATTTCATAAATGGATTTTTTTAAAGAAATAATATTAAATCTCCAAAAAAATCCATTCCTTATTTACTATTACAACAGTATAATACATTTACATTACTTATTTACTATTACAATCAGTGTAATACATGTGAAAACTAGCAAAGTCATTAAAAAGTTGACATGTACAGGCTAGCATGTAATGACTTTAATGGTACCTTTTTACAAGTCACACCACTTCTTGTACCTTTCTTGCAAGTTACACCACTTGTGGTGCATTATTTATATATATGTAAATAATACACATTTACATAAAATTTCGCTTTATTTATATAAATATATCAAATTTATAAATATATCTTATATCACAAAACTGATATTATTACAGTCTATCATATGTACACATTTAAAACCACATAATAAATTTATGAAAATACTAGCTCTTCTGATATAACGTCATCATCAAGATGGAACTTTTTTTAGTAATAGCCAACAACTTCTGAATCGGTTTCTTCAATTTTCTATTAAGAAATAGTAAAGCTCTGTCTTCTTTTAGTAAGAAATAACAAAGTTCTTTTAGTAAGAAATAGTAAAGTTCTGTCTTTTTTTTTTTAATTTATTTTTTCTACTTGCCTATCATATATTACAGACATGTTATTAGCTGTATCAAACCATTCATGGCAGACTACTCTCCCTACAATTCTTTTTGACATTATGTCATTTAAGCCAGCAAATTGCTTGTTAGAAAATTATTAATATAAATTTTTTATATTAAAAGATATTGCTCCAGCTCTTTTTTTCTTTTTCATTGAATTTTTCCCCTTTGCATGTCTGTCTTTTTGAAATTTCTGATTTTAATGCAATATGGTTTAGTCAACTTTTTTTTTTTTTACTGCATAGATCACTTAACTACATTTTTCTATATATTAGGCTTATATTTTCTAGATCTAGTCTATTGTCATATTGTTTTTTGATGAGGGGATCTTAATTTAGTTTTACTAAAATTACTTAACATACCTATTATATCTTCACTATAAAAAACAGTAGAGCTGGGTTTGATTTGCTATCATTAATTGTTGTCAAAATACTCTTTACTACTTGTATACTAGTGACATAATAAAAACTTGCATTCTCATTTGAGACAAAAAAACTTGTCGTCTAAGGTCCAGCGCAAAATTTTCCAAAAATTCCTTATTTAATATGATAATACATTGATGTACTTTGACAATATTGCAACTGAAGAACACAAGAGAATATAAACATTACTACAAAGAGTAGGCTGCAATGATTGTCTGTTGTAGGCTGCAATGTTTGTCAACACGGATTTAAGGAAAGGCTTTGTTGTAAAAAGTAAAGAATTGCTTCAAATATTTTTTGTGACAACAAACTTTAAGGCTATAATATAGCCTAAACGTTAGTTGTCAACAACAAAAAATATTCGAAGCATTTCTTTGCTTTTTTCGAACTTTTGCATTTTTCATGCATTTTCATGACATGCATGAGGCAAAAAATTAGTGAAAAAGTTTGATAATGGATAAAATTGTACCCATTCAGAAAGCTATTCACCGTTTATAATGCATTATTTACTTTTATGCAATAAAATATGGGTGTTTAATATGCTATTATGCAATAAGGTAACAATTTATCTTTAGTGAAGATAATTTGTTGCTTTATCTGCAGTTTTATAAATTTGCAAAAAGCAAACAATATTTTTTTTTCTCTTTTTGTTATAATATAAAAATATATGATAGGCTTTGAGTTATATATTGCAAGCATAGTTTTGTAATATTATTGCTGTGATGTTTGTATATGTAAACATATATACTTTTTATATAGATATATTTTTTATATTTAAATAAAATATAAAAAATGTATATCTATATAAAAAATATATGTCACATCATAACATAAATATTAGAAAACTATGCTAGCAGTTTTTGATTTTGAAGACAAGCATATACTTTTATCACATCATTATAAACATGCTTATCTTAGTAAATTGCGAACTGCTAGCACAGTTTTGTAATATTTTTATTTTAATGTTTGTATATGCAAACATCACATCAGTATTAGAAAACTATAACTTTAGGCAACATTAGTTAGTTGTATTTTTTGTGGAAAAAGTGTTGCTAAAATTTTAATTGACATCATGCAAAATTTATATTTAAAAAAATATATGTTTATAATGTAAACATATATCTTTTAAAATATAGATTATGTTAATCTTTAAATCTACGTAATCTTTAAATTTACGAATATATATGTAAAGGTATATTTTTGAAAAAAATTTTCAAAGTTTTTAAAATATTTACATTTATAACCCTGGGCCCCACAGTTTTGGAGGCTTTAGTCCATAGAAAAGTATGTTTTTTAAAAAAACTATGAAAATAAATTTTTGGTTAATCATGGAATGAAGCCTCCTGCTTTAAAATAGCCCTGGGTTCCAAAAAGTCTTGATCCACTACAGTACGTTGCCATAATACGTTATATTTTATATGCAATTTAGGAATAAAAATGTGCAAGAAAAAGCAGTTTGCTAATTGATGATGTATTTTTTTGTCAATCATTCAGCATAAAAAATTGCACACATGAATAGGAAAGAACCTTGACGTGCTTCATGAGCTTTAAACAAATACCTTCTAGACATATACTCTTTCAACCTACTGTGGAGGTGGAGTATTAGCTTATATTCTGAATTTAGTTTATACTAAATGAATAAAAGTTTTCAAGTTTATTCCCGAAACCCTTATTGACTGTACTATTTGCGTTCAAAGAGTACTAATATTTAGGTTATAAGAATCATTTTAAAACTAATTTTGAATATTAAAACTGTTTTGTTTGCTTTTAGTAGTGTATACTGTGGATATCAAGAATGAGATATAGATATAATTTCAATTTAAATTTATGGATATTTTTTATAGAAAAGATAGTGACTCAAATTTAGAAAAGATTTCTAACAAACAATTTTTTTGACTTAATCATAAAACTCTCGTGTCGAAGTAAGGCAGGCCAATCAGAATCAATCAGATTCAATCCATCAGGCAGGAAGATCATAATAAGGTGAAGTAAGAATTTTTTGAAAATATGAATTCGTGTAGATAGGGAAAAAAAATAAAGGCACCTGATAGTAATTGGCACCTGATAGTAATTTGCATGAAAGGGGAAGGGGTTGTGAAATAAGTTTTTTTTTTTTTTTTTTTTTTTTTTTTGGGGGGGGGGGGGGTAATATTTACACAAAAAAATTTAGCTAAAGGAAAAATAAATCCTAGATCTGCCCCTGAATGTGTTCCTTTTTTTTCTCTTTTTCTCGAAAACAAAAATGCAAACTCAAAAAACTATTGCTTTTTTTGCAAAACATTTTCTAAAAAACATAATCGGAATATATATAAAGAGTTAATGCATAACAACAAAAAGTTGTGATGTATGTCAATAGCAAGAAGAATAAAGTTTAATGTAACATATTTTTTAATTTCGAATTGATTTTTGGAAACATATCAGTTCTAAACGTGATTGTGATTTACAAAAAATTTTTTAACTTCGGTTTATTTATCTAAGTTGTTTCTAAGTTGTGCCACTGCTGCTTATTGATTTTGGGCCTTTTTTTTTCTCTTTAATAAAATATTTTTTAAAGTTTTGTTTAAATCAATTTTAAACTGTTTACTCTAGAAAAAATTAAAAAAAAAATTAATCTATTACCACAATCCCACCTATTACCAGGTCCAGTTGGTAGATATTGATATAAAATATTGATAGTGAAATATTGGATTATAAAATGGTTTTAAAGCACAAAAATTTATAAAAATTTACCTTTTTCCTAAAAAGGACACATTCATGCTACCCTTGCCACCCCAGCCAAAAGAGCAGGATTAGCAGTTGCTACCCTACGCTACCCCTTTCCAGCGTGCCTATTTACAAGTAAAAGTAAAAATGCAAATAACTTTTACTTGTAAAAGTAAATTATTTTTTCAAATAACAGTTACTCATTTAAAAAACTTAACTTAAGCAATAAGTTTTACACGTTACATAATTTATGTAAAAAAAAACAAACGAATTACTTTTAAATGTAAGTAAATTATATATTTTTACATAAGTTATGTAAAGTAATTTACGCTTAAAAGTAATTTGCGTTTTAACATCAAAATAAGTAAGTGCCATCCGTAGTCTCAATAATAACAGATATTTTAGAAAATGCTATTTAAAGAAAACCACCAGTTTGACATTTGGCTCAGTAGATTTAAACTAAACTATTTTCGGAATATCAAATACTAAATTAAAAAAGAAACCTGAGAATGACACGGTTGAATGGTAATACACTAATAAATCTATGCAGTTGCAAAAATTTATAAAAAAATAAAAAAGAATAAAATTTTAGCTAAAATGAGCAACAAAATCTAAAAAAAACTAAATATACAATCATAGGTCAATATACTTTTTATAAAGTTTTTGTCAAGTTCGTGTAATTATAATTTTGCTTAACAAATACTAAAAATACGAAAAATAAAAGTTGTTTGTAAACATACCGTTCATTCTTTAATGCTAATTTTGCAGCAAATGATATTGAATGATTTACTAATTGTTTCTGTTTAACAAATAATAATATCTATACAAATTGCTTCAATAGTAAGTCAAAGCATATATAAGTAAGTTTAACAAACTTGCCACCTCTGGTCTAGGTATTTATGCATAAAAAATATATATAATAGTTTTATACAGTTTTAAAATAAGTTATTAAATATTAAAAAAGTTTATTTAGTTTTTTGGATGCACATGATTTTTTAATAAATGTGAGAAACATACTAACAAAAAAAAAAGTCTGCTGTCACATACACAATCCATTCAGAATATTATATAACAAACACAAATTTTGAAACTTAAATTTATTTGGCACAAGTTTCATTAACATTTTTGTTAGTGTGATTTTTGACATACGCAGTAAAAAAACAATGGCTTTTTGACAGTAAAAATAGTAACCAATTATAAATAATTTTCAACAATCTTCACGAAGACTTTTTCGGAGTTTAAAGAAGGAGTTAAAGTACAAATATGCCATCATTCGTAAGGTTTTTTCAGGGTACTTACCTGCAGTGCTGTTGCTAGTAGGTTTGAGACCTCCCCCCAAAACCAGCCATTAAAGCCCCAAAATCCTAAAATTTTAACCATTAGATATTACCAAAAAAGAAAAAAAAAAAAAAAAAGCTCGCTGAATTTGCAAAAGGGCTCCTAAATTTCCAAATGGCCCACTAAAATTGCTGAAACCCCCTATCTCATTTGGGATGTGTGGGGAAGGCTAGCCACGGCTCTGCTTACCTGTATTGTCCATAAAGACAATAAAAATACAAAAAAAAATTGAATGACGAACAGGTAAACAATTTAAGCAAGCATCTGATTTTAATTCTACATAAATGCACTTTAACTTAAGTACAATTTTAATAGGAAGACCTGGTCCTGGTTTATACTCATTGGTTCCAACAGCTTTATTCCGATTTTATTTACATCAATTGTCTTTACCTATGGGACAATGCGGTTAAAGCCAATTATACTTGAAGATGCTACATGATATAAACTTTCTAAGGCTGAAGAACCTTTACCTTCAAAATTGACACAATTCGGCCTAATGCAAATACCAAAATAATTTTGCAAACGATCAACTGTAGCATTTGTTATACGGCATTTACTATTTAATGAGTTGACTTATTTTTTTAATTGTCTACAACAAGATCCTATATAAATTTTTGAAAATTTCCAATACAATCCAGTTTAATTACTTCAATAATTGTATGTGCTTTTGACAGCAGTGTAGCTTTTGCTATCACCATCACTGAAACAATTTGTGTACCGTAAATTAAATTTCTGCAAAGAGCGATTAAATATTTTTTTTGCGCCAGCTATTTCCGTTCCGTCGGCTGATCCTTCGTAGTTTTTATTGTAAATGTGTGGGTTTTTTTCTGCTTCGGTTTGATGCAGCTTTGAATTGACAATATCTTGATTTTTGTCTTATATTTTACATTTTCTAGATAATGCTAATATATAATACTATTTATTAATTTTAGTATATAATAGATATCTAGCTTTTTTGTATGTAATTTCTGAAATGTCTTCTTTTCAACAAACATTTGCTTTCTTAACTTTTTCATCGACTGAATACTTAAGCTATGTCTCAATTCTTTTGTGCCTTTTTCGATCTGCCATTAAATATTTTTAAGCTTCCACTAATAACAGCAATAAAAACATTTTCGTGTTGTTTTAACATCAACTCGAATTCTTTTTTATAACCCTCAAATAATTTTGCTATTTCTGATAATGTAACAGCCATATTATATAAAAAATGAATTGTTTTCTCAAGAAAAGTAAATAAAATATACTAAAGGTTAAAAAATTTTACTGTTTTTTCTTCAAATTCTTACGCGTCTGTTTATGAAACAAGCATGCGGCAAAAAAAAAAAAAAAGGTCTTAAGTAGTAGCTACTAGATAGTATGTTTTCCACACTTAATTGGTTTATTGTTTCAAAACATTCTCCTCCATAAATGTTTTAAAAATCACTTTTTGTTTAATTAAGTTCCATAACTGGAATGATTCTCATAATACTGTTGCAACATCCGCTGGCAGTTCTTCCATAGGTTGTGTAAACTTAATTTTTTCCCCTTCTATCATAGACTGGAACAAGTTTAAACCAAGAGTATACTCTTAGTTTAAACTATTGCTACATGTACTATAATACCTGTAGCAATCACTTCACTTGTACTATAATACTTGTAGCAATCACTTCACTTGTACTATAATACCTGTAGCAATCACTTCACTTGTACTATAATACCTGTAGCAATCACTTCACTTGTACTATAATACCTGTTGCAATCACTTCACTTGTACTATAATACCTGTAGCAATCACTTCACTTGTAAAAAAAATTTTTGTTTTGCCAGTAACTGCTTAAATATCAGTGAATAGCAAGTTTGATTTTTTAACAGCCTGATAAATTTACTTTGTTTCGAAGAAGAATAGTTGAAATATCCTCTATTTTAAAAAACGAATGCAAGTAGTTTTTACTATATTTTTATACAATTTAAAACTGCTATTCATACAGGATCTATGCTAAAAGAACTGATGCTAAATTTACATGGCTCAAGCTTAGGATTTGTTAATTAGTTATATAAATGAACAACAGTTGACAGCTGGCAAAAAAAGAATTCCACTGTCTATCTGAGCTATTGTAACCAATTGAAACTGAGTTATACGCTCATTTAAGTTCGTTTCTTGAAGTGTTGCAATCTTGTTTTTATTGCTTACCATTATCCCATTGGAAACTATTTTTGAAGACATATCGAAGTTCCGTTAATTTGAATAACGTTGTTTGAAATAGGAATCCAGAATTAGAGTCCTAGTTCAAACAACATTATTCAAATAGTGTAACCTCTAGTTCCAGAAATTAGAGGTTCCATTTTCTCAGTGTTAAATTTGATAAAGTTAGCCACTTCATGCGTTTAAAAGTTGGTCAATCATTTCTCGAAGACCAGAAATAATAAGACTTAGCAAGATTACATCAACTAGGTATGCAATGATACCCGTATATATACCATTAAATGTCAATCGTACTCTGTATTTTGAAACTATTTAATTTAGGATGCTTTCAGTATAAATGTTATATAGATGAGGCGATAGAATGTAATCTTATCTCACTCCTTGTAGGAGTCTAAACCGGATAGATAAAACGATGAAATTGCGTGTACTAAGGACAATCGAAATTTTTTTTGGAAATAGAGCTTCTCAAATACCAGATTCCATTTGTATCAAAAGTATCAAGTATCAAAAGCTTTATTGGCATTTGAACTCCACAGAGGTGTGTTATTATCTTTATAGTGCTGTATAGTTTCACTTTATAGAAACTCTGCGTGAAGAGTATTATATTTTAATTTTTTCCATTGTTTATAGTTAAATGAAATATTTTTCATGCATATTTTCTGTTCCGTTGTTCACCACGATTTGGAATACTTAAAAATTAAGTGTTGTTCAAAGCGCTATTTAAAACTGTTTAAAAAAAACTGAACTGCATTTTTTAATTTGTTTGCATGTTTGTATTTCCTCTTGTTCGATTGTTTCTTTATTGAAGCAGTATTGAAGCAGTATTCAATCAGTTAAAAAAATTAAATCCTCTTCACAATCAACAGATTGTAAAGAGGTTTTTATTTTTTTTTATAGACACTACACTAAACAATATTTGAATAATTTAAACGGGAGTGAATAAATGAGTAATGTTGTTAAATTAAATGTTTGTTTTTTTTAAACAAACTTTATTTCTTTTTACTAATGTAATGGAACTTTTTTTTTTTAATTTCCATTACTTATACTTTCTATTGAGTTTTTATTTTAATATAATTTCTATATAAGACCTATTACAGAGAATATTATTTAAAGAAAGATGATTAAGTAGTCGGTTGTAAAAAAAGATAATGGGGAATTTTGAACTTTAAGTTATGTATATATATATATATACATAACTTATATATATATATATTACTATTATACTTATATATATATATAACTTATATATACTTATATATATATATAACTTATATATATATATAGTTATATATATATATATATATATATATATATATATATATATATATATATATATATATATATATATATATATATATATATATATATATATATATATATATATATATATATATATATATATATATATATATATATATATATATATGTATATATGTATATATATATATATTATGTACATATATATATATATATATATATATATATATATATATATATATATATATATATATATATATATATATATATATATATATATATATATATATATATATATATATATATATATATATATATATATATATTAAAGGCGCCTATGGTGGCATACATAACTTTGAAGCTTCATTATTCAGTATCCTGAAAACACGGATTTGATATGGATACATTCCTTGTTACATGTATAACAATAATAAACCTAGGAGTTTTCATCAGTTTTATTTTTTATTAATTATTCTTATTTTATAAAAAGGCACAAGTATTCCATCATAGCCAACTACTACTACTATGATGGCTTTGGAGAGGATGAGTCTGGTTAGCGTCAAGGGTAACTTAATGATTTCATTTAATCTTAGAGTCTTCCTTCAGAAATGCCAGAAATTATGATTAATCATCCTAATTTACCATTTTGTGATACACAGCAGCAGTGTAAAATTTTACGCGTGCGCATAAGAGATATTGCGCTATATGTATTTTTTGAACCAAAAAATATTTAGTATAGTAAAAATTACTTCACTAAAAAATAAACTGTTTTTATGAAGAAAAAAAAAGATTTTCCCAACTCTTTAATATTGTAACACACGTAACTCGTCAGTATGTCATTATAGGAAGAAGTCATCATTTTTATTTAAACAAGCGGTGTTTGCCTTGTTCAAAAGATAAAATTAAAATAAGCATCCCACTAAATGCACAAAATTTGGATATTGAAACACATCCCAAATAAATGCACTAAATGCACAAAACTTGGAAATAAAATAAGTGAATATTTCATTTATGCACAGTCAATAATAAAAACACAATCTTAAATATTTAAAGAGATTAAAAATACAACAGCACATACCAAAATCAATTTTTTTAATT